TATGATAATAAAAAAATTTTTCTTCATATTAACATACTTTCAATTAAAAATATGATAATAGGTAAATTTTCCCTCAGTCAAACATTATTTAGAAATATAAAAATAGGCAACATTTTTCATTATATTAATCTCGTTATATTTATCATAATATTTTCTTTGCAGTAACATTTTTTATTCAAACATATGAAAATATAGAAATTTTTCTCTATATGAACATTTTTATTTAGAAATATGAAAATAAGAAACCTTTATGCCATGTCAACACATTTTTTATTTACAAATAAGCAATATTTTCTCTATATTTACACTTTTTATTTAGAAATATGAAAATATTCAACTTTTTATCCATATTAATTTTTTAATATGGATAAAAGCGTTACAAAAAAATTAACACTTTTTAAATTAGAAATATGAAAAATTAACACTTTTTAAATTAGAAATATGAAAATAAGAATATTTTCTACATATTTCCACCCAATGACGACCGATTCTTTGTTTTTTTTTCTTCTGTTCGCAACTTGCTAGTTCCGCTAGTTTAGTTACGTAATATCGACCTTACAGTCAATATGCTTTCTTTTCCTTCCTTTGTTGGAGCCGGCGTGTTGTCTCGGTAGGGTTGTTTCGGGTGTTCAACATCTTATGATATTGGGATTAACATTTTTATTTAGAAATATGAAAAGAAATTATTTTTAGTAATATGAAATAAACTATATTTTCTCTATATTAACACTTTTTTCTTTTTTATATCTAGAAATATGAAAATGTGAATGTTTTTCTCCATTTTAACACTTTTGTTTTAGAAACATGAAAATAAAACAATTTTCCTGTGAAACATTTTTACTTAGAAACTATAATATAAACAACTATTTCTGTGTTTATAACTTTTATTGATAAATATGAAGATTTTCTCCGAAGAAATAATGTTTTTATATAAACATGAAAATAAGATACTTTTTCTTGATATTATGATTTTCATAGAAATATGAATATAATCAATTTTTTTTCTCTATTTTTTTATTTATAAAGATGAAAATAAGAAACTTTTCCCCTGTAGCAATGAATTTTATTTAGAAATAGAAGAATAAGTAATTTGTTTATTATATAAACACTTTTTTATTTAGAAATATGAAAATAAGCAACTTTTCTCGATATAAACACTTTTTTGGGTTTGTCTATATTTCTGAGATGAGGTATTATGTACAGTATTTACATTAGTCGGACTATTGTCCTCATCTTTGTCGCCATATTTGTCACAACATTTCGGCCGTTGTACGCTCCGGCCTTCTTCAGGTGGTTGGAATTTCGAACTGAACCCTTTATTTCGATCACTGTGCCATGTGTCCTTGAGGACTGGTATATCGGGTCCGTACCGATCCTTCAGAGTTTGTCTATATTTCTGAGATGAAACGTTGTGACAAATATGGCACAGTGGATAAAGGCGTTGGTTAGATCCAGTGACAGACCCAAAGAAGGTGAGTTCAATTCCTGGTTAAGGCAGTGGAGAACTTTCAGAGGGAAAATTAGCAGGAGATAACTGATAACTGACATCCATCAAAACATGGCACGTGGAATTAGAACAGTCTACCCCAGTGATTTAAAAAAATTTTAATAATAATATTTATCTCTATAGTAACAATTTTTATTGATAAATATTAAATAAAACAATTTTTCTTTTAAAGAATATATATATATATATATATATATATATATATATATATATATATATGACGTTATTTTACTACATTAATTGAATAGACAATTTATGAATATGCTCATTTTTTAATATGTTCTCTTATTTTAATCCCTTTTCTTCTATCCCTTTCTTTTTTCTTTTTCTTTTCTTTTTTCCCATGTTCCATAGTGAATATATTCACTCTCTTTTACTTGTCACATCCGGTGAAAGGAGGTCAACCGTTCTTCTTTTCTTTTTATGTGCCATGTCCTTTCAGGGTGTAAGCGATCATGGGTCTCCACCTCCCGCTATCCCTTGCAGCTCTCAGCAAGTTCCTTCCCTCTGTTTCCTCCCCCAGACCACATTCTGTATTCCAGCTGCTTCTGTTATTGCTTTCGCCAGTTTATGGTGGGGGCGTTACCTATTCCTGGGATTATGAGACGCATCGGGATACCTGTTTTGAGGGATTCAGGGAGACCGTAAATTTTGGGTGTTCTAGGATGATATTCAATACTTAGATCTGTTTTCATTTTTAATTAGTTTCCTAATTTCCTTTGTTGAATTTTTGTGTTTCAGTATTTGTTTTTGTTCGCTTATTTTTTTTTTTTTTTTTCGTATGTGTCGAGATCGTTGACTAGTGAGTTACTTTTTTCTGTGTATGCATTCTTGTTCATGGCCACAACCCCACCTTCTTTGTCAAAGGGAGTGATATGAATTTCCTTACGCATCATTAACAGTTTTTGATCTAGAGATATGAAAATGGGCTATTTTATCTCTATATTAACAATTTTTTATTTAGAAATATGAAAATACGGTGCTTTTTCTCAAAATTAACAATTTTTAATTTAGAAATATCAAAATAAGCTAGTTTAACACTTTTTTGTGTATACAAATATGAAAGTATGCAACTGAAAGTGGAACGATTCATTAAATCGACATAGTCTTCGCGCCTTCTTTTCTGCTTATTCCCAACACTTACAGCCCGGCAGATATTTCAACAAAGATTTTCCAACTACAGAGATGAAAAAAAATTCGAGGAGATTTAAGACAATATAGTGGCGTAATATTTCACAAGATTGTACTTAAAATCCCAATGGCTTTTGCGTAGAAGTTTTTTATAAACGAAGTCATACCGATTAAATGCACCACCTTTTTCTGGTGTAGTTCCGCTACTTGAAAGTCCTCATGCCGTCATTCTTACTTTCAACAACCTCTGATAATAATTATTGATTCTGTTCAGTCTAAGGAGTTCCTAATTTCGTTTTCTTTGCCATCCAGTCACTATTCGTAACCAAGGATGTTTTTTTGAAAAAAAGTCTTCCATACATACCAGATGACTTCACCATATCAGATAAGATTTCAGCTGTAAAAATTTAGTTTATAGCATTGGCTGCCATGATGACTTTATTGTTTCCGATAAAGTTATTCCAGTGTACATTGAGAATGAAGGAAGCATTCAAGTAAGTCTAGATGGCGTTGCTAGATGACATACTATCTTGGCCCATAAAGAAGCAAAAGATTTCGATTGACGCTGCATTTAAATTTTTGAGGATTGTAGGTAGATAGGGAAGCAAGGTAGTTCCACAGGCGAGAAGTGTGAGAAAAGAAACTGTTAGAAAAGAAGAGACGATTGCATGTAGTTAGTTCAACAGTAAAACAATGAGTCCTCTTTGCCAATCTGGTAGAACAATTAAATTCATTAAAAAGCTCATCAGAATCATTGCCATGAAAATATGTGGAGATAAAACAGAAGGATCCCACGTCACGTCGGTGAGAAAGTGTCTGAAGTTGAGATAGCACATCATCAGTTACATTACAGACACTTCTTTGAATTTTCTCAAGGATCTCGAGATATATAGAAGGAACACAAGACTGTTTCATTCTTTGCAACATCTCAGGTATTGACCTGATTCCTTCAATGCTGCATCCTTGGGATGAAACCTAAAAGCCGGTATCGGTATGTTAAAAAAGATCAAAGATAATTACTTCATAAATTAATTATGAGGTTAATGTGAAAACTTTTTTTTCTTATTTAAATTCATTATTTAGTGGCCAAAATATTTTTCATGCATTTCTTTGAATTCAAAAAAATTCCAGTTAAATTGTTTATTCCATCATGAAAATAACGATTCTGCAGTTTTGACTTGATGATATCTTTCAGATTTTGTTTCATTATTTTAAACAAGTTGAAACTAGTGAGCAGCGAACGAGTATTGCATGGAAGGAAAGAAGTGGCAATGCGAAAGTGAGAGGCTTGGAGATGTGAGAGGCTGACAACGATTATCACGAAATTACGTTGCAATTCAGTTGTTGATATGCTCTGATAAGAACTGATATGTCATTGAAAACATGAATTAAATACGTAATGTGCTGAAAACACATTATTTGGATCCTTGTAAATAAACTTACCTGATATATAATGATTTAAAGTAATAGAAATGGATCTTCTTATGTCATAATATGAAAGGCTTTTCTCCGCGAAGTTACTCAGCAAAAACTGCCACAAGCCGAGACACTGTTAGAGATTTTCATTTTCAATTCATTCATATTGTCTTTTTACAGATATATTTTATTTACATATGAATTTTTACACACATAGACCATAAAAATATTTAAAAAGTAAAAGAAAATGGCTAAATCAAAACCTATTATTTAGAATAAATTAATTAAATTCTCAAACTAAAACATAATAATAAAAAAATAATAATAATTACATTAACAAGATTAATAACAACATTTTCTCACTTTCTGTTATTAGAATTAAATTACATCATTTAGCTTCCTTCATAGTTTACCTTGACTTTCACAGTTAGACTGAAAAATATTTATGAGCGTTCTTAAATTTATAAAATTTTAAAAGCCACATGATGTTTTTATTTCTGCTTATAAATACTTGTTGCAAAATAAAATCTTTAAATTTCTCAGGATAAAGTCCATCAGAGGTAGAAACACGTCGGTTTTCCTTTTGTCTTATATATATATATATATATATATATATATATATATATATATGTGTATGTGTGTGTGTGTGTGTGTGTGTGTGTGTGTGTTTATAGGATGTGTAATAGTATCCGAAACGAAGTGAAAATGATGAGTCGAAAATTCTTTATTTCGCTGAGCCCTTATTTATCGTTTGCAACGAAAGAGTCCACCATACATACATTATATATATATATATATATATATATATATATATATATATATATATATATATATATATATATATGAGAGAGAGGTAGATAGATATCCGGTCAATTGAGCTAATTTTTGATTAAATCATTCGATTTTACATAAACTTCTTGATAATTTTCTAAATTTAACAACTTTATTATTTATTGATGAATTTCCCCTTCTTTTGTGCATAAATGATTCCACACGATAAGATGGCTCCCAGGAAGGCAATGGCAGAATCCACGTAGAAGATGACGGGAAAAGAACGGGTGAAATCATAAAGATGTCCTGAAATGAATAGAATTATTTGGATTATTTTTTTTTATATATATAAACAGTTCACAGAAAACGTGCAATCAATTTACTGCAAGTTAGAGTCATTTCGAAAAAGTGGATAATAGCGTCTGCAATGAAAATTATATCAGCTCAATCGCAAAAGAGAAAGCTGTTGACCTGGTTTTTGAAGTTAATGTCTTTAAAACGAATCACTTCTAACTAAATTTATAAGATCTTTTATGCAGGAATTGTCAGGAGGCAAGTAAGGAAGATAAAGAAGATAAAAGTTTTTCTTTTTTTTCTCAATCAATTGTATCATTGTTTTATTATAGAAAATTATAACAAATGTAATGGCATTTACATGATGATGAAGTACATTTACACTATTCGGACTATTGTCCTCATCTTTCTCGTTTTACGCTCCGGCCTTCTTCAGGTGGTTGGAATGTCGAACTGAACCCTTTATTTCGCTCACTGGGGTAGACTCTTCTAGTTCCACGTGCGATGTTATGGGTGTCAGTTATCAGTTATCTCCTGTTAATTCCCCTCCCCGCCTTAACCAGGTATTGAACTCTTTGGGTCTTGTAACTGGATCTAACTAACGCCTTTATCCACTGTGCTTGAGGACATCTGCGTATGAATTTCTGGGTATTATAAACCTAATGTCTCCAGCAATGCTCATATTACAATTTTTGCTGTTATCATACATGTTTTTACCAGAGCTCATATTGCAATTTTTGTTATTATTACTTTTCTCTGGCACTCCTTATTATTGGTTCCCATATTGTATTCATTTGTATGCTTGGTCGGCTCAGCAGATTTTCGTGGCTTAGCATATGTGCTGATTCCTTAAGTTTACGAATTGTCCAATGATTTTCTTTGTCTATAATCTCAGCCTGATCCCACAGAGGGCGGTGATCTCCCTTTTCTCTCCATATGTGGTCAGCCACGCTTGGTTTTTCCACTTACAGCTTTCTGGTGTTCTTCAAGCTAATCTGATTTGTCCATCAGTACAATTGCATTGCCTTTGTCAGTTCGACATTCCAACCACCTGAAGAAGGCCGGAGCGTACAACGGCCGAAACGTTGTAATACATATGTCGACAATGATGAGAACAATAGTCCGAATAATGTAAATAGCATACATAATATCTCATCTCAGAAATATAGATGATTACTGAAGGATCGGTACGGACCCGATACTACGAAAATATAGAGACAAATTGAAAAATCCTATCAGAAACTGGCACGAATATCGAACCATCTAACATTCCTACACCGATGCAGAGATCTACAACTCATCCCTTCAGGACACTTCAGATTATACAAGAAAGCTGGAAGACCTCATTAGCAATGGTAGCTACAGCAAAGTAAAAAAAAATGATCCTACAATGAAAACGGAACGCAAACTGTCACAGATACTAATCAAGAACAAAGATCACTTCGCACCTAAGACGTATAGGCAGTTATAGCAGCGTTATACCAAGCTACCTCACAAAGACGGTATTCCACTCAGGCCGATTGTTAGTTGCCAAGGCTCTGTGTGCCAACCCCCGAGTCTCTTCCTTGTAGACATAACTGATACATTGATCGGAAAGTTTCTTTCATATGTCCGGAACTCTGCCCACTTCGTGGAAATAATCAAAGATGCTCCCATCCTATCCAACCAGATGGTGAGCTTGGATATGGTGAGTTTGTTCAAGATACCCACCGAGGAGGCACTCTCAGAAGTCAAAGACAGATTGGCCTCTGACTCATCCCTAGAAGAACGGACCAGTATTCCAATAGATAATCTGATGGAGATATTGACTTTCTGTACACAAACAACACACTTCGGAATGGGATCACACATATATCGACAGGATGAGGGCTTAGAAATGGGCTCGCCATTATCACCAGCAATGGCGAATATATACATGGAATACTTTGAAGAAATGCCATTAGAATACATATCTCTAAAGTCAACTATATGGTTAAGGTACGTAGATGACACCTTCATACACTGGCCACACCAGGATGATGTTCAGGTTCTACTGGACCATGTGAACTCAATAAGACCTTCGATACAGTTCATGATGGCGAGAGAGAGTAACAATACACTTTCATTCCTGGATGTTCTAATATCTCGAAATAGCATGGGTTCAAGACATCCGTATACCGTAAACCGATATTCACCGGACAGTACCTCAATTTCAACTCCCACCATCCATACTGTGTAAAGAAAGGGATCGTCCGCTGCTTACAACACCGAGCAAAAGTCATAAGTGGCAGCTCAGAAACATTAGAAAAAGAATTTGTCAGTATAAGTAGTACCCTACAACGTAAGAACTACCCTGAGTACATGGCAGCAACCCCAAAACACTGGATAGGCGGGTACAAGAGGAGGAAAACAACAACACTCAGAAAACAGTCTGCCTGCCTTGTGAAGGGGTTATCAGAGAAAATACAAAGGATCTGCGGTCTATATAACATCAGGACAACCCTCAATAGCTGGACGACACTTCGCAGATATCTCTCCCGAGTAAGACCCCCCCCATAGATGAGAACATGACTAAAGACTGTGTGTACGCTATCCCGTGCAGCTGCGGGAAGAAATATAAAGGGAGACAGGCCGCCCCCTTAAGGTAAGGCTTCAAGAACACCAGAAAGCTGTAACACGAGGGGAAATGCATGATTGACCACATATGGAGAGAAAAGTGAGATCATCGCCCTCTGTGGGATCAGGCTGAGATTATAGACAAAGAACATCATTGGAAAATTCGTAAACTTAAGTTATAAGCACATATGCTAGGTCACAAAACTCTCCTGAACCGACCAAGCATACAAATGAATACAATATGGGAACCAATAATAAGGAGTACTAGAGAAAAGCAATAACAACAAAAATTGCAATATGAGCTCTGGTAAAAACATGGAATGATTACAGCAAAAACTGCAATATGAGCACTGGTAAAAAATGCTTGCTGAAGACATTACGTCTATAATACCCAGAAATTCATACACAGATGTCCTCAAGGACACAGTGGATAAAGGCGTTAGTTAGATCCAGTTACAAGACCCAAAGAGTGTGAGTTCAATACCTGGTTAAGGCGGTGGAGAACTTTGAGGGGGCGGGGAATTAACAGGAGATAACTGATAACTGACATCCATTAGACATGGCATGTGAAAGACATGACGAGAAAGATGAGGACAATAGTCCGAATAATGTAAATAGTGTACATAATACCTCATCTCAGAAATATAGACAGACACTGAAGCGCATTTATTTAACATCATTTTAAAATGAATTTGTTTCAGACTAACATATAAATTATATATTAATTATAATTAAATGTGATTTATTTTTCATCCAATAAAACTAGGTACCACCACTGATTCTCTAAAATGTTAGTATGCAGGATAAAAATTGCCCCAAACTTAATAAAAACATTTTATATCGTCAAATTGTTTATGCTGTTATGAAGGGGAAAGACCAAAGTACATTTTTTATTATTAAATTGTATTTTGTTATCCTTTTTAGAACGTTCAAAATGTCATTAAAACTTTTTTGTCAGCAGTGGGTGGCAAAGATTAATATAGGAAATTTTAGCGTCTTTTTAATGAAAATATTTTAGAAATGTTTTTATTTAGAAGATTTTGGTAAAAATATTTTTCTTTTGCATCTGTTAAACCCCACTTATTTAATTTTATGAAATTTCAAGAAATTACATTTTGTAGAGCTTAATATTTATATTGGTTAAAATCAAAAATCCTTAGAGAATTTAAATCATAAATTTCTTTTTATAAAACAGGAAACCCAGTTACCGAAAATCTGCTCTGAATCGTAAAATAAAAAATCGCACTAAAACTAAGACATTATTTAATTAGAAAATCTATTAATAAATTATATATATAAGATATGCTATGAGCACTATTATCTTAAAAGACGAATAATGCATTTTACAATAAATGTTTTCATTTTTTTTTAAATTGATTAGTATAATTTATTAAATTTTAAGTCTTTTAAAATCCTCTCTTTGCAAAGGTTAGATGATATTGTTATATTAAGTTAAAAAATTTTCTAATCATAAATGGAAAAATTAGTACAATTCATCGACCACCAATATTTTTAAAAGAATTTTGAAATTTTCTTTTATGTGTATAAATGTGCCGATTTTTTAATGCAGACATTATCAGAAAATAAGAGTGATAACTATAGTGCATTTAAAACCAGAGTACCTAAAATTCAATAAAACATTAGATGACGGAAAATATTTTCCTAAATTTATATGTAAAAAGGCGCTCCCGTTATATTCCTCAAGTAAATTTTATAGATATATCCACCATAGAAAAAATAGATAAACTTCCATCTGTCAGTCAAGCTGTCATTCTGTCAACACCTTAAATAAACAGCAAGCTGCGTGTTAGAAAAGTGCATTTTCTGCGATATTTTAAACTTAATGTAAGTAATATTTGTTTCAAGTCAGATTTATTAAACTAGAACTCCTCAAAAAATTTTCAGAAATGTAAATTTTATTTTTGAAAGAGTTTTTAATATGAAAATTACATTGTGATAAAAGATAGCTAAAAAATGGCGCTAAAATAAACGATTTTAGACATTTCAAAACGAAAACTTCTTCCAGTCAATTTACATTTGTTTTGAAATACAGCAAAGTGTTTTGCGTATTGGAAGATTAAATTTAATCTATTAGCTTGAAAGTAAAACTAAATTGAAAGCTTCAATTTAAGATTTTTGATTTATCAAAATTCATTTTATACCTTAGGCATCGCGTTTCTTTGGTGGGAACTAAATAAAACAATGTAAACTTTGAAAATAATATTGTGAAGTAATCATAATGATCTCTGAATTCTTTATGTTGCTTTCGTCTTGGCCAAAACGTTTTAAGTTTTCTAAGAATTTCAATCCCTAAGGAAAGATTGTTGTCTCTTTTAACGGGAAAAAGTGGCAAATATAACGACCGACTCAGTTCTTTCCACGTTTCCAATATTTACATGGAGGATTTTAAAAAGTTCGGTCGCCACCCAGTGAAAACCTTCCATCCAGTCTAAGTGGGTGGGTGACGCTTTTAGACTTTGGATGATCAGTTGGAGTTGCATCATGGGAATTCACTTAAATCATGTAAATTCTGAATCTGTTATGTACAAATGCGGAAAATGTTGCAATTTGGAGGCAGATATTGTGCTAACTTTGTGTGTTGTCATTAAGCACTACGTAGGTAGATGCCAGATTTCTCTTTTTTATTCATATTCCGTTTTTTTGTGTGTTTTCTTCTCTTTTTCTTTCTTTTTTCGTCGTTTCAAGTTTTATTATTTGTCAATTTTTCCTGATGATATGATTGCATTGCCATGTTTTACCAATAATATATATATATATATATATATATATATATATATATATATATATATATATATATATATATATATATATATATATATATATATATACTCTAAACAAAATGTAACGTTTTTCATTGAAATTCTTACTGCTATTTTCTCCCCGATTTCTGATAGTCACCTCTGTATATAAATTGTTTTGTTTTAAACATTCTAGTTTTATTCTAGAATTATTGCCATTGCAAGAGTAGTTATATCGATCGTCAAGATTCGCTTCATTCTAGTGACCTTGTGTTTAATAATACATGCAGTTATATAGACAACTTTTGCTCTTGTTCTTACAGGAATTGTTGTTTCGAAGTGAAGCAGTGTAAATAAAAAAATATGGCTGACAGAACGTACCACTAACGATAGGGTATACTATATACCCAATTCCAATGAAAATTGATACAATGCTGTATGTCTCGGATATTTTATCAATTCCAAGAATTGCTGCAATGAGTACAATACGAAGCGCGATTCCAAAACCTGCAATGGAAGATAAATAAAACAAAAATATAATCAGTACAAGTAGATTAAATTAATCCAACCAGATTTCAAACACCTAACTCTGGATTTATATATTTTTACACTCAATGTTTTAACTTCACCTGTTGACATTTAAGGAGTAAGGTCAGAATAGCTGGGTATGGATAGGAATCGAACGCACTCAGCGAGGCAATGATATGCTAAAAGAGAAACCATGACAGGTCCTTGACTGAGGTTATGAAATCAATCTTTGGTGATAGAGATTAACACCATTAAAAAAATGGTCGGACTTGGGGTACAAGTAATAAAAGGAACTGATAACCATTGAGGGCTAGTGGCTAAAGTTAGTGGCAGTGATGCTTCAGAAAATTTTTAGCCATTGTTTTATTATTGTATAAAACGAAACAAACACATTTAAAGAAAATTTATGCATAAATTTGATAAAATTCCAAACGAAAAAATTACGTTTTGCTTAATTATAAAATGTTACAAGCTTGATCAATTCATTTAAAAATGAAACCTATTTTTCTGGTTTTACTTGCAGCGAAAAGGTTAATAATTTTCCCCTTTCATCTCTGGATGACTGTTGAGGAAATTTAGTCTTGCAATATTCATAGTGCTCTTTAGAAAAGTTTTTATTCTTATTTCATTGTTGAAAAGCAGCGTTCCGGCTCTGATATAGTCATGGAAATCGTCAAGAGGATTTTTATCAGTTTCGTAATTTCATTAAGAACACCATCGAGATTAATTTTCAAGATAAATTTCAGCAGCTCAATTAATTTTTAATATTCATGCATATCAGATCTACAATAGAATACTTTGAGTTTAGTTCCAAGCTTTTCTTTGTCAATCATGGGATATGCTTCAGTGGTCAGTACTATCTCTTTTGTCAGCAGTTCATTCTTAAAAATAGTTAAGCGTTTTCTTTAAGCTTTAATTTAGCAGCTACTAAGTGTTTATTATATCAACACACATGCAGTCACACACTTCCTTTGCTTCTTCTATGAGTGGCTTTGAAGGATTCTCAAACTAATTCGTGTTTCTTATTTCTAAAATAGCAGTTTTTAAATCTGTTATATTTCATTGACTTTAAATACTCTAATTTCTCTGGATTGCATTTGGTTGTAAATTACTTTAACATAAGGCATAATCAGACGAAAAAGTTCTAAACACATGAAATTCATAATTCAGGTAATGTGAAATTCCTGTTGTTTCTGAAATGGTGTAATCTGCCTTTGATGTTGACTGAATTGCAATAAGGGAGCTTTTTAACGGTTACAAATTTTCATGAACTCTGTTCACAGTCTGTACGTTAAAGTTCCACTTTGTAGAGGATGGGCGTGGAATGTTGTTATTCATATGCTTGCTGTGAACGGATACACGTCGTAGTAATCTTGAGAAGAATACTGCTATAGCCAATATTCTTGCGTTGCATATAATACTTGCTGCATTTCTCATTATTAAATTAAGTTGATGTGCATAATAGTGAAGGAAATATGCACTACTATAAACTGCATTTTATTTTTGATTGAAGTCTTCTATATTTGCTTTTAATGACATTTGCTCTATCAAATGTTTGTGCTATCTGGTCTTCTTTTTCATTTTCTTAAAGGATTATGTCTAATTATTCTAGAATACGTTTTGATATGCCATCTACAGTTAGATTTTCTTGAATAAAGAATCCCCCAAATAATCAGATATTTCTTCCTTCAACACGTACCGGAGAACAATGACCATTTGAGTGTGTTCTGAAATATCTGTTGTGTCATCAGCCATGACGGCTACAAATGAAGCTTCCCTAATTTCTATCCTTATCTCTTCATGGTATATTTGTAGCAGGCAGTCAAGTATCTCATTCTGAATGGTCTTAGAACGACCTTTCGAAAAACTATTCTAAATGATTCTTCAAATCTGGATTTAATTTAGATACCAAATTTATTAATCCTCTAAATACCCCTGGAAGAATCTTTTTCATCATGTCACGTAAGGTAGTTTTAAATATTAAACAAATAAAATAGTCTATTATTTTGGATAGAATGTCACGGATCTTTTTAACCTTCATGTTCTGCTCGTTAATTGAAAGTCTGTATGCCTCACTAAGTTTACCCTTAATATTTAAGTTTCGTAAAAGTGACAGTGAAACCATATTTTCTTTGACTTCTCATATTTTTCAGCTTTTTCTTTCATTTTATTTATATTTCTAAAACCGTCTTTTGTCCATGTTACATCACCTCCTCCAAACACCAAACACGGTAAGCAAAACAAAGCACTTTTCACTTTACAGCCTCAGAGCCAACTTTTCCATTCATGCCATTCAGAATTAAAGCTATGAATATACCTTTTGTTGTTGTTTATTACCTGGTTGATATATTTGAATATCAGTGTTGAACGACCTCTTTTCTTAACTGTAATTTTCTCATGGGGAGACAACTGTGAAAACTTAAGCTATTAAAGTTCACTTACTGTCACAAAATCTATTTCTTGGGGATTCAAAGAGGTCATAGTTAAATTATTAAAATTAAAATTAAATTATTAAAACAAACCGAATAAAATTTATGAGATAAATAGAATTGCTGGAAGTTTATCTACAGTTCAAGAATGTGGTACACGGTTTTTAAGCACAGCACATGCTGAGTCAAAACTAAACACTAACTTATACACGGACAACAGTGTCCGCACTGCGTGGACAAGACAACAACAGTGCTCTCTCTAACCAGCGTTCAGCTTCTTTCCTTGGACACGTGCGTAAGCGCACAACAACCAAAAGTAGCATTACTGAAACTGCGAAACACAATGATTTTTGTAATGTTCATGAACTAGGCCATGGCTACTTACATTAAGCTTATGTAATATACAAGGATAAAGAAAGATTTAAAGAAAAAAAGAGAACGTAATCAATAATATCGATTAAAAATAATGGGTGCTGCGGTTCCGCAGTGCCTATACACGAGTTGTCGTTATGACATCAACGAGTCAGCTGTGCACTATATTCAAAAGATAGAAGAACAAATCCGTGCAGCAACACAAGGACTGGTTTCATCAGTGTTTTGTGTCCGAGATACGTAAATATCTTGCAAAAGCGAGCCTTCCCTTCACAATTTTGTTGATATTAGACAATGGCCTTGGTCATCCAGACGTTAATGACTATAACATTAAAGGTGATCTTCATGCCTCCGAAAACTATGTCTCTCATTCACCCCCCTTGATCATGGGCTGTTTGGATCATTGAAAGCCAACTATACACAGCTCATGGAGAGAATAGTGTGGAGCATGGGCAAGGACTCTGACAGATAGAATATAATCAAAATCTTGAATGATTTTAACATTGTAGATGCAATAAGCATGACTGGAAAATCTATCGAATTAATGAAACCAGAATCCGTAAAGCACTGATCCGAATATGTTAGTGATTTCACTGGATTCACTTTGGGTTCTATAATGACAGACATCGTAAATCTGAAAAGGATATAGGTGTCGTGGTCAGTCTTGGCATCAGTCTTGGAAATATTCGAGAGCTGATTGACACTAGTACTCAGGCCACTGAGTTGACAGAGGACATTCTGTTTGAACTGACTGTCATCGAGAAGAGGCACTAGTTGACGAAGTAATAGACTCAGTAATTTATCAGAAACTGATAAACTTACCTTAGACAACATATCAGAAAGATCAAGAAGAGTAAAGGATGAGCCAATTTTTACGTCCAACATCGATCCGTCAAGGATACAATCATTGAAAGGTAAAGAACAAGTGGAGTAGAGATAGTCGGTGTATGAAAATATTTTAAAGGTGAAGAAGGGAAAAATCAGAGTGAAATTACAACGTACTTTCTGAAGGAAAACAGAAGCAACTAAGACTCGTGTCCCATAACAACTTCCATCCATGAATGCCTGGGAAATGTCATAAATAAATATCAGTATTTCATGAATTCTCTTATTTCTTTGTATTTTGGTGACGTCGTTTGAAGTAAGAAATAGTGCACCCAGAAATTAAGTCACGATGTAGAATCTAGGGATAAGCTAAACAGATTGTAAATTTATTGTAATTTTGGGTTTCGAATGTTTTATTTGATTTTAAATATGAATTTACATATTTTCTATAATAATCATTCATACAAGGAAAACACGTGAATTTCTATGTCAACATTTGTTCTTACATAAATTCATTCATATGAGAATTAAAAACGAAAGATTTTATTTCAACAGAAAAATCATATGGATTTTAGCAAAATAATTTCAAAGGCCGAAAAATGTTAAATTATTTAGGACGCTAAAATAAGAGTTGGCTAAATAATTAGCTATATTTTAAATGACAATTACTTGATATCAAATGCAATTTTTAAAGCATCGTTTAAAGTATTTTAAATCAATTTTTTCAGCCAAAGATTTTTTTTTCTTTTTTGACTCAAACCGAAATTCGAAATCACTTGGCTGGTTTGTTTTTCAAAACTGACAACCAGTAAGCCACTTCGTTGAAAAAACCAAACTGATCTTAAATCTCATAAAATAGCGGAGCATAATGCTAAGTAAAATTACGTTTGAAGCAAGAAATCTTATCGTCCACGATTATAAAATAAAATCAAGAAAATTCGAAGTTTTAAATGATACATTCAATACTTACTATATCCGGTGGCATATCCGGTCGTGCTTAAAGCGAGTGTTGTGAATGTTTGGCAAAAAGGAATGGCTAATATACTCAAAGACATGCCAAAGACAGCCGAAAACAGAAGATAACTTATCGGGATGTGTACGACATCAGCCAGGAAGCCTGCTAAAATCTGGCTTAAGGTGGAGACGATTCCATAAATTGACATAATCATAGCACCTTCTTCTCGACTCAGTTCCAGGCTTTCAGCATATGCCGGCAAATATATCAGCAACGAATCCCCAACTAGACAAATAAAAATGGTGATTTTTTACTCTAAGTTAATATTAGAGAATTAAAATAAAACAAAATTACAGACCTTTAGAGTTGGGAAAAGGAAATCGAAGAAAAATAGTATATTCGAAAACATCTCTTTTGTGGATGATGTATCTTTCATTAGACGCACTACAAAACATTTTGTAGGTATTTTGTTCAGCCTATCAGTTATAAATCGAGACTATATGGTGATATATTTAAGAAATGTGTTTACTTAAAATCATCATATCTTGGTTTTGCGAATAAAAAGCGTTATCTTCCGTGATGAAAAAACCACCAATCGCTCGCAGACAATATTTCCACAACGGTTACAAGGGAAAGTCTAGTTATCGGTTATACGGTATCGCCTATTCTATTCTAATTTTGAAGTTTGTTTCCTAAAATGGAGGTAAGACATTATGTCATCATCCCTATGTTTCGCTTTTGTTCACTATTATTTTCGGCATCACCCCGTTTCGACGCGAAGAGACAAAATGAGAGAATTAAAATCTCAATTGGTCTTGCTGCTTTGTTTCTCTTCATCTTTGTCGGTAATGATCTTAACTTCACTGTTAATACTACAGGTCCTTCCATTTTTTTTTACATTATAGATTACTCTTTTCTGTTGCGATGGAAGACGTTGCCGATGTATTCGTTTTATCTTTGTAGTATCTTTTCCTTTTCTATTATGAGTGTCCTCTTTTTATATTTTATGCATTTTGCTCAAGAGAATTTAATATGTCATCCACTTTATTTGTCTCTCTTGCACTGAATTAACCCCATTTGTTGTTGCTAGTTCTGCTTCAATTATGGTGTTCCACTTTGAGTTATTGACATTTTGTTATATTTTATTATACTTCATTATATTATTTATATTTGTTCTTAACTAGATCTGAATTTGATTTCATATTTAATTGTTATAGAGTCTGTTGTATTGTCGTTCAAGCGTTCTCTTCGTATTGCATTTCTAAAATTATTATTGACAGTCTGTTTCTTTATATCTCACCCCCGGCTTATTCGTCTATAGGCGTCTTGCGCGATTTTCAAACTGTTTTGTTTATTATTTAGTCATTTACTGTACAGCAATGTGTTTTTCTCCTTCGTTACCGTCTATTTCATTATCTTGTTCTGTTCTACTTTTGTAATTTGGTCCTCCATGATGTCAATAAATTTTAGTGTGTTGTAAAACTTATCTATGTTTTCTTCTGTGCTTCGTAATGCAAATGCTTATACTACGATGAAGGCCATATTTTATGACTTCCATTTCAATTTCATTCAAAGAATCCTGTTTCACATTTGCCAGTATCACATTCTCTCTTATCTTTATCTAATATCTCTGAAGATAATAGCTTTGTAAACGTCTTGAAAAGTGCGCGTTCGAATTACTAATTTTCATAAACTCCTATCTCAGGAAATCTAGATTCTCTATTATTATTACATATTTAAAAAATGCATACAAATCAATTTTCTTTTCTACAAATCTGTTCAAATTTAAGACTCATATTCTCTTCTCTAGATTAAGAAAAGTATTAAATTTTACATTAATTTCATGTTTTTTTACTTAATAAACTTTAATTGAAAGTATTAATGATATTAATATTAAAATGGGCTGCCACTGGTAAATCGCATCAAAATATTAATTTAAGGCATACCAAGAAATGCTGCCGTATTTTGGTCCTTACTTTCTTGGAAATACAGAAACTGTGGTGCTATTAACGATAAACCGTTATTTTATTATTTATTGGAAGTGAACAGTTTGACTTTTAAGATTTGGTATTGCTTTTTTATTTAGGTCACATATCAAATTTGTTCATCGGACTAATGAAAAACATCCCCTGCATAATAACAGGTACTAATCTTAGAGATAAATCAGAGCAAAAGAATATTCTGCTATTTATTAAGCTTAGTTTCGTTTTGGCGCAATGTCAGAAACAAGGCGTACCCAAAGATGATCGAACATACCACAGTTTTAATGATTAGCGAGAAGGCAGATTGTCAACCATTGCATAACGGCGATGTGATCGAATCAGGATATTTTTCTGTACTCCAAATATTCGTCACAAACAAAAGATCTTTGTACATATTTGTTAGCGGATCATACGGTTAACGAATCAGAATATATGAGAAAACAAGAGTTTCTTATTGGCTATAAATTTGTGTGCATTTTAATATAGTGTTTCATAATTCTTTTATAAACACTAATACTGAGTGAACTACAGGAAATGCTTACCTGCCCATAGCAAGTAAATGGCCAGCAAAAGACCAAAGTTTTTATTTCGAAAGATTGTTGTATCGCAATAACGCGATCGCAGGTTTGTCAAATTATTTGGCATTTCCTCTGCAAAAACTGACAGTCTCCTCATTTGCAACGTCTCAGGCGTCGGCTCGATTCCGTCAATACTGTATCGATGGGAAGAAACCTAAAATACATTATAAAACCGGTTTCAACATGATAAAATGGCGAAAGATAGCCATTACGTAAATCAATACATAACAAGATGTAACATTTTTAACTTAAGTTCATTTAACATTTTTAGCAATGTTTCAACCTAATTGTTTAATCATATGTATTTGTATTTCCCTCATTCATTAGTCAAAATATTTTCCCTTTACTTCTTTGACTTAAGTTAAATTTCCCTTAATTTGTACTATATACGTAGCCACATCAATACGTCATTAACCTAAAAACAAAACGCTTAATTTTCAACGAAAGTTTCTTTCTTTGCAATGATTCTCCAAATATAAATAGTGTTCTAAAATGACATTCTCAATTACTATATTTATTATGTTAAAATTAATATAATAATTATATTATTTATTCAAAATTTTCTTAAAAAGAAATATAAAAACACAGCCTGCTTTGCTAAAATGAATAATTAAAATAAAAGGAACTATTAAAAATATAAGACACACACATATATATATATATATATATATATATATATATATATATACTCGTATACGTATATACGGTAAACGACGAAATTATTCCTACACCCATTAATTTTGAATATTTTTAGTCATTTCTTATAATCTAATGACCCTATGATGCTGTTATGGTCCGGTTCCTTGTACCACGGTGATAGTGCAAGGTAGAACCAATAAAGAAGAACTCGAACACAGGTGCGGAATAACACAGATATATTACAAACAGGAATATATACAAAAAAGTAGAAAGTGTTAGTACGAACAATCAGGTTTAGTAGCGAGAACAATGTAGTCTCGACCAGTATCACTATTCCAATGTCTTGTAGTAATTGTCTGAACGCGACTCTGTTTCGGACTGCCTCTGACTCGACTGACTGACTCCTTACGGATTTCACTCCAGACTTCAGACTGGACAGTATTTAGTCAGCACCCCCACGAGGGCATCATGTGGCACAAGGCCTGTTTAACGTGGGATATCCGATCCCGTGGGCTAGACAAAAATATGCCCTTTGAGCCCGTATAAAAAGGGGTTCATGGTCGGTTTACCTCCCCGAAAGAGACTCCGTCCTTCGGCGTAGCCTCGTTCGGGTTCCTCCCCGCCCGAAGGCAGAGAGTTTAACCGATCCGCCGGTCGTCCGACTTCAGAACGGTATTTAGTCACCACCCCTCCTCACGAGGGCATCATGTGGCACATGGCCGGTTTAACGTGGGATCTCCGAGCTCGTGGTCTCGGCCAAAAATATGCCCTTTGAACCCGTATAAACGTGTTCAGGGTCGGTTTACGTAGCCTCGTTCGGGTTCCTCCCTACCCGAAGGCAGAGTGTTCAACCGATCAGCCGGTCAGCCAGTCGCCCGACTTCGGACTGAACTCTCTGCTTCCTCTTGAGGCGCAGTATTTATTACGTATGGAATAGTCCATTATATTATTATGGGTAAGGTCCCATAACAGATGCCAGGTTTTTATACGTTAATAAGCACAAAAAAAGGAATATGAAACTCAGTTTTCAGAACAATAGGTTAAATGCAACAAATTTGACAGGCGAATTATGCGAAATAGGAAAAGACAAAATTACTGGAACAGTATAAAAAATAGAAAAGAAATTAACAATTCTCACAATTTTAGTAATCAGTAGCATATCCTCTCATCTTTATAACTTGCTGCAATCGTTTCTAAAGTTTAGATGAGTTCTGAACAAGTTTTTTCTGCGGTTTTCTTCCATTCTTCAATGGTTACACGTTCTAATTCCTGAAGGTGTTTTGGTGACCTACCAATTATTCGAACTTGCAATTCTTGCCATAGATTTTCAATAAGATTCAAATAGGACTCATGAAATTCATGGCAAAACTGTAATCTTTTTTTTCTGGAGCCATGCAGTCACTGATTTAGACGTATGTTTGGGATCATTATCTTGCTAGAAAGTAAATCGCCGACCTAACTGGAGATTTTGCGCTGATACTTGTAAATTTTCATCCAGAATTTTGATATAGTCTGCAGCTTTCATTATTCTTCTTATTGCAATTAATTGTCCAGTCCCCCTTGAACTAAAACAACCCCAAAACATAATGGAGCCTCTCCCATGTTTCAATGTTGCCACTATGTTCTTTGTGAGGAAAGCCTCACCATTCTTGCGCCAAATCACCTGTACATCATGATGTACAAAATGCTCCATTTTTGTTTCATCACTCCATAATACTTGTTCCCAAATTATTATTTTTATCCGAGAACGTTTTGTCAAAATTAAACCAAGCAACAATGTGATATGGCTTGTGAAGCGGGGTTCGTCCAGGTCGGTTTCCATGCAACCCATTTCTATTTTTTTAAAAAAAAATGTTGTATTGTGTTAGTACTTATGCTGATACCCATCGTATCCAAACTTTTGGCGATGTCTTTCAAAACAACTCTTGGGCTCATATTAATCACCCGACACAGTGACAATTTGGGTTTTCTTCCACGCCCAGGCAAATTCTCTGTCGTACCAAACTGTTTAAATTTCTTTATAACGGACAGTACCGTAGATCTTGGGATAGCTAACCGGTTTGAAATAGCGCTGTAACTATATATATATATATATATATATATATATATATATATGTGTGTGTGTGTGTGTGTGTGTGTGTGTGTGTGTGTGTGTGTGTGTGTGTGTGTGTGTGTGTGTGTGTATGGATAAATTGTCGCAATTTCGTATTTTTAATTTTGCGTTATTTGTACTTGATTTTGTCTACTAAACTGTATAGTAGGTTTCATAATAGTTGGACACCGTCTGTAAGAAAAAGAGCACCTTGACGCATTCACTCCAGCAGAAATTTGCTAACGGCATGTTGTACAGCGTGGCATTGGCGCCGGGAGCTCTAATATGAGTATTTTAGACTGTATGTCAATCTGACGACAGTACATTGTATTTGGAAAGATATGGATGAGCCTAATGGTGATTACGAAGGTACAGCAGCTCGGAAAACTCACTCTGATCATTCTGATAATTTGTTGATGAGGGCCCTTAGATTCAACTCGGGGGCCTACATCAGTTGCCTTGAGGAGGTAGTGCTGCCCTGGGTCAAGAAAGTGGCTGCTGGAAGAACATATGTCTGGCAACAGGATTCTGCACCATGCCATACAAGTAGGAGAACCCAGTCATGGCTGTCAGACAATTTCTGCGATCACATCACCGCTTACACCTGACCACCTAACTCCCCAGACTGCAACCTCCTTAATTATTATATGCGAGGCGCAGTTGAGCAAGAGACCAATAAAACTCCAAAGATGAACTGAAGGTAAATATTATGGCAGTAATCACCAACTTAAATAAATAAAATACACCCAGAAGAATTGCAGGAGATTCCGAAGTCGTCCGGAGACCGTGGTTGAAGCCAATGGCGATTTTATTGAATAAATTTATTCTTTACTATTTCAAGATATGTTTGAGTAATTTTGGTGGATATATCTGTTAAAATGAGATATCAGTGTTATTTTTATTTTTGCGTAATTTTGACAATTTACCCATCATACCCTGTATATATGTGCACTCGCTTGGTGTTTGTGTGAAATACAACACTTCCATAAATTTTATGTGCCATTTATAAGAAACGTTAAACGGAATAGTCAATTTTAAATGGGTGGATAAAACGATTTAAATGTTTTCAGGTTTTTTTATTTAATTATTCTTGTCTCATTTACCGTAACCCGTCAGGGTGTGGACGATCATTACTCTCCAAAACTTCCTTTTCTTTGTAGCGCTAAGCAACTTCTGTCCTTTTATCACTCCACTGTACCAACCATTAGCAAAAAACCTGTTAGGTAGCTTACTGGCTGATTTCCTCTACACCTCTTATATTAAATATATCCTGTGAAATTTTACAAACCCTCCTTCCTTTGTATTTGTCCCTGAAATTTCATCTGTAAGTATGAATGTCTATTTGCCATTTTTCTAATTGGACATGCTTGAAGTCAGATCAATGACAGCAATAGTGTCCTGGCAAAATGTTATTTTCAAACTAAAACGTAGCTGTGCGATTTTGCAAAATATATCTTTTAAAAAGAACGATTAGAAAAGTATTTTTATATACTCACGTTTTCAGTGTTTTCATCATCTGGTGTGAAGGCAGGGTTTGTTACACCTTCAGAAGCTCTTCTATTTTCTAAAATTACAATGATTAACAGCGTAATAAGTTCATATGAAAAACAGGTTAGATCAAAGCTAGGACTTCATAAATCTCTTTCTTTTTTCCTTCACAGCTAAGTTTTTCTGGATATTAGAAAAAGAATTGGCAACTCGTTCATGCAGTGTCGACATAGACAAACAAATTGGATATACCTTAATAGAACCATCAAGATCATTTTTTAAAAATCATTTTACTTCAAGCATGGAGATAACAGCCACTAAGATTCAGGGGTTTTACTGAGAGTCAAAGAAACAGAGAAAGATAAAAGGTTCAAAGGGACAGATGATTGACATTGCATTTAAATTTTTGAAGATCGTAGTTGAGTAGAAAGTATTAATTCAGAAAATAGTCCCAACAGTGAGAACGGTGGGGCAAGAAACCATTAATAGAGTACTTGCCTTTAAAACTAACAATTTCAGCAGTAATATTTTGTAGTATAACTGCTAATCCAGTACAACAGTTAAGTTGAAGTTCCAAAGAAAGTTCGTCAGAACAATTACCTTGAAAATATTTATAGAAAAGACACAACGAAGCTATGTTACGACGGTCAGAAAGCGACTGAAGCCGAAATGCCAGGTTAGGATGAATGACATTGCAAATACGTTTTTGGATTTTGTATATATGGCAGAAGAACCAAAACAGATGTGGCAGCAATATTCAATTCATGAACGAACGTTGGACATTTTCTAGCGAGAAAAATTGTCAAGCATGACATATAGAACCGTCTTTCGTAGCAACAGACTTGGCAGTTGGTTTAATATAAATCATTCCATTTCATGTCAGTTAAACGAACGTTAAACCAAGAAGAAAACCCAGTTAATTGTCCCATTGGAGGTTAGCAACAGCCATGCTGATAGATGGCAAAAAGTTTCTTGAAGATTATAAATAGAAAACAATTTTGTTTAAATGAAAATAAGCAAACTTAAAATAAGCCAGAACTTTTTTGCTAAGTGGTAATACTGTCTGAATAATTGGCGAAAGTTACAGAAATAATCGTGAATATAGCAGTAAGTGGTGCAGTGTATTGCAATATGACGTCTTACACTCGGATAAATTTTTTCTCTTTTTTGTAGCCATGTTTATTTATATACACTTATCCTGCGATGTTGATAGAAGCAAAAAAATTCCCGGAAGCTAATTTGTCTTTTGTACTACAAAGGTACCCGCTCCAAATACAGGAAGAGAAAGAGTATTTAGCGCTGAGTAGATAGAAATAATAGTTGAAAAAAAATGACATGAATCTATATCTTAATTCCATTAAACTAATGCCTCTTTAACTTACTGTTTCAAATTCAATTTCAAAGAGAATGGGAATATACAATGAAGTGAGAAGAAAAGTAAATAAGTTCAGTATCAAAAAGCAACCAAAGCAATATATAAAATCTGCAAACGACAACAGCAGTGACGTATTCTTTGGACATTAATTATTCAGACAATGAGGGGAAGTAGAAGATATTAGGCAGCTGTCTCGAAGCTTTTAGTCCTTTAGTTTAGTTTATAACTAACAGTTATACGGCACACTGTCTTCCATTAACGTAAAAATATGCTGCAGTTTAGTTTTTGAGACACTTTCATGGGAACTGACATGTCATACTTGCAAACAGTGATTACGTAACGTGATCAAAATAAACTAAAATTAGAATCGGGTAAATTGGATATGTACAAAAAAAAAAAAAAAAAACTTACCTGACATATGATAACTTTTTTTAATGGTTGGTTTGAGTGGCCGACATAGTGCTCCATAAACAGTCAAGTTTAAAAATATGCCGCCAAGTAAAAGAAATGTTCCTCTCGTGCCATAGAATGAAATGGTTTTCTCTCAGTCAAGTAACTCAGCAAAAAAAATTTGCCACAACCCGAGCCACTGTTAGCGATTCCTAGAGCAAGAGCCCGTTTCTTATTAAAATAGTATCCCAAAATAACATTTGCGGCGAAAAAACATATTGCTAAGGATATTCCTAAAAGAAAAAAGTTTAAAGTAATGATTAAAAGTGAACAAATATACGTTTTTCTAGCAAAATTGCCATGGAAATGAATAGCAAAGATGATTATACTTTTAAAAAATATTTGATGGATATATATATATATATATATATATATATATATATATATAAAATGGGGGGGGAGGTAAGCTGCATTCAAAATTCCAAAATGGTTACCGAGTACGAAGACACCTGAAGAAAATCAAAAGTGTACAATGGCCGAAACGTTGTAATTATAATAATCGTTTTGGGTTTATTGGAAAAGAACGTAGAGATGATAGTCCCCCTTTTAAGCAATCGTACATCAAGATGAAATTTTGTAATCTCCGGAACAGGTAGCAATCAGTAAGAGCCATAGCTGGATAATAAAGGTGGTTGTATGGACCATTGTCTTATCATAATGGAACACTTGTAATTCAAGTATTTAAATGCTCTCACTGGGGAACAAATTTCAATTTCTTTTCTATTGAATTAGATTTGACATTTCCATATAATTTGGGTGCGCTGAGCCCGAATTTTTACTCAGTTTTTGCTATATCAGGTTCTGATTTTATTCAACACTTCTCTTTCGTTGTATTCATAAAAAAGTTTTTTCTCAATACCTACTGTCTTTTGCAGTTACATATTAAGCAAATAGGTTTTTATCTAGGTATTTGTACCTATTGTTATAGTATTGTTGTATTACGTATAGTTTTATATGTAACACCCGAAAAATATTTTTAATTTATTTATTTTTAACCCATTTTAATATTAGTAAATTAAAATAAACATCATTGAATTGTTAAATTTTTGTCGGGCATTCCTGTTTACTGTAAAATATTCTAGAGGAAAAACTAAAATAAATAAAATCGACTCGTTTCCGGAGTTAATATGCCTGTTCAATCGAGCAGTAAGTTTATTAAGTTTGGGCATTAATATCATTTTGAATTGGCATATGACTTAGTGAGTATTTTTGCAATTGTCATTTAATAGTTCATTGCATTAGACGTAAGTTATATTGTACCTACTGATCCGTGTTTATAGTTTAATTTCCTACATTTTAAGGATTGACTTCATAATAAGTTTCTATTTAAACTAATGTTTATGTTTTTTATTTCAGATTTTTTTAAATTTATATGAATTAAGGGTTTTAAATACCTTTAAAAATTGGCAGAACAATCAAACAATATGGCATCAAAGTTAAAATGTAAAAACAACTGTGATTTCTTTTGTTTTATATGTGGAAATTTTACACTTCACGTCAACGAGAAATAGAACTGGCTTCGTAAAAAGAGATTACTTACCTTATTTTGTCATAAAACTGAGGGACCAGGATAAATCATGGATGCCACATAACTCCTGAACTATATCCATTGAAAGACTGTTACATTGGACGAAGGATTCGGATTCAAAAATACCTTTTGGAGTTTCCATGATATGTTTATTATGTCATAAAATTACTTGAGTAATCGATAGCGGCTCGGATTGGAGTTCCAGTCAAATCCATTACATTCACTTATGAACCCTTTTTCTTCTAAGGAACAAGGTTCAGATAAATAAAAATGTCGCTTTTGTTAACGCTATAAAATTTTTTTCCATATCAGGTGTAGCGAGAGTATACTAACCTCGAGACTGATTGCTACTCTTGCTTTGTCAAGACTTTGGGCTTGAAGAAAAAAAAACATTGTATCGAGTACCCAAATTTTGACATCGCGATACGACCCGTACTACATTCAAATGAGATCCCCATTCCAAAATTTAAGGTCTGCCTGTGGTATGATACAATTCCCCTATTAATAAATCTGTCCTGAACACATGTATTCAGGACAATATGCTGATATGCAGAGTTCATTAATGCTTACTATTGAGCAAATTCGTATTGTCGCAAACAATTCTACTACGACTTAATGAATTCTCATTGTTAACCAATTTGATAATAGCTAATTTACTCTGTTCAGAGAAACTTACTATTGACCCCCAACGCGTTTGACGTCGAACTGGAATATCGTCACTGAAAAATAACTTTCATAATCTTCTTGAATACGTATTGCGACAAAAGTTCTAATAAATTGCACTATCTCACCAAATATGTCTCAGCACAAGTTTACAAGGATTTCGTGGGCGTACCTATCTACGAAGAAGCTTTAGCAATACTGGACATGATCTATATGATCTATAGGAAAATGAAATTGTCTCTTGATATTTACTGGCTACAAGGCGTCAACTACCGTCAAATTCAATTGACGGATTTTATCAGCCTTAATAAAACTAATTAAGGACTGTTCATTTTCTTCGGTATCGGCGGAACAATATCGCTACTAATTCTTAAACGGGTTACGGACCACGGATATCCAACAAAGAATACTCGAAAACAGCACCGTAACATTACAGCAGTCCTATGACCAGGTAAGTGTACTCGATTTAACAGAACAAAATGCTAAAAATTACGATAGAGTTGCAGTAACGTCAGAGACCTCGCTACATCTTTTGCAGCACCCTATTGTATGAAACATTAGGCTCTCTGAAAATATCGGTCGTAAATGGTTTTTTGTCGAAGACAAGAGACACGCAAGACCATTATGCCCCGCTAAAAAGGACAAATACTATACATGCGGAAAGAAGTGACATTTGGCTAAAGTTTGTAAAAGTAAGAAAAAGGGAAGCGAAACGGCATCATTGGATACATTTTACTGCTTATCAACTATAAAGACAGAAATCACTGCTAATAAACAGCCATTAAAAGCACTGATTGACGCAGAGAGCACAGAAAACTTCCTTAACAGAAGCATTGCGAAAGTAAATTTGTTGGAAATTTGTGCCTAAACAAAGTAGCGATAGCTAGCTCATCTCTTTCCATATAAATACTTAGATACTGTTTAGCTGATCTACAAGTAAAGGGTACTTTATACCAAGGAATAAAATGTCTACTAGTGAAAGATCTATCTTGTGACCTAATATTAAGGCACAACTTCTTACGCCAATATTCATTAGTAGAAATAGCTTTCGGAGGCTCAAAGCACAAAGCCACCTTTTACTGCGGTCTAACAGCTATGAGAATGCCGTACCCTGCTCACTTTAACAATTTAACACTGGATTGTAAACAGGTAGGTACTAAATCTAGGCAACATACGGAGGAGAATAAATTATTTATTCAAATCGAAGTTATATGTTGAAGGAAGGTATAACCGGACCCAGCCATTCGCCGTGGAAAGCACAAGTTTTCGTAGTTTCTTTTGAGAACAAAAAAAAAACGAATCGTAATCGACTATTCCCACATTATAAACCAGTTTACATTACTGGATGCCTATCCTCTGCCAAGAATAAACGATATGATAGAGAAAATGGACAAAAAACGGTCTATTTAGTACTCAAGGCCTTAAAAATGCCTAACGTCAGATAGCTGTAAATCCCAGCAATAAACCCTATACGGCCTTCGAGGTCAGCAGCAAACTTTATCAAATTTGCAGAATACCATTTGGCGTAACTAAGTAGATAGTTTTCAACGAGTAATAGAGCAGATAATATCAAAAGAGAACCTGCAAGGCACATATGCTTACATCGATAATGAAACTATTTCCGGGGAAATTCAAGCGGAACATAGCAGAAATCTTAAATTATTCTTGGCTGCTTTTAGCAGCCAAGAATAATTTAAGAAGTACAACCTTACACTTAAGCGCGAGAAATGTTATTTTAGACGTAAAAATATAAAAATACTTGGTTACATAATAAATAAAAACGACATAAAATCCAATCCAGAACGTCTGGATCTATTACTCAGCCTACCGATTCCAAAGATTTACCTGCTCCGTGCCGTGCATTAGGAATGTTTGCACATATTATCCCATTGGGTTTCGTCTTTTTCAAACAAAATCCACCCTCCAACAGCAGTATCAAACTTCCCGTTATCTCCCATAGCAGAGAAAATTTTAACGAGTTAAAGAGGGGCATAGCGAAAACAGCCATTACTACGCCCCCGGTCATACACTATCTCTGGTAGTAGAGACAGGCACCTCAGAATACCCATAGCCTTTTTCTCCAGAACCCTGTCTAAATCGAAACGTAGACATTCTGCAATAAAGAAAGAAGACTATGCGATTGTCGAATCGCTGAGAAAATGGATGCATTATTTGATCGGGCAACATTTTAAATTAATTACAGACCAAAAATCAGTCCTATTCATTTTTAACCCGAAAACGACAAGCAAAATTAAAAATGAAAAGAAGATGGAACTCGTGTTACTCGTATGATCTAGCGCACCGCTCCGGTAAAGAAAACGTAGCCGTGGACAACCTCTCTCGTGTATGTAGATCAGCTGCTTGCAAAGAAGAGTTAAAGAAACTACATAGAGAGTTGTGCCACCCACTTGTTACACACAGGGTCCATATTACGAAAATCAAAAACCTTCACACTTCAGTAGAGGATGTAAAAGAAATTACCAAATCGTGTAAGACTTGCGCTGAAAATAAACCTCGGTTTTACCGTCCTAACACGAAATTTTATGAAAGAATCGCACTGGATTTTAAAGGACCGCTTCCGTCAAAAACTCCTGACAAATATATGCTGGAAATATTTGACGAATATTCACGGTTTCCTTTTGCGATACCTTTCCCCACTGTGTCCTCTACAACAATCATACAAGCACTTTCGGTCTACCCGCGTAAATTCATTCGGACAGATGGGCTTCATTTATGTCCGAGCGCGTACGGCGATTTCTACAAGAGCAAGGTGTAAG